ACTGTAAAGTATAGAAGTTATGCTGCTCTCTAATTAAAGGTGAAGCCAATAGCTTGACACTTTCCAGAAGATGACCCTGTTTCAGATTCCTGTGCCTTTGGCAGAGTATTTGGGATGAAATGTTCTGTGCTGAATAGTCTCCTGAGCAGCATTTAATTTTATTTATTTACTCTGAACATCTCCACAGAGGCTGTCCAGACTTTTCTGAGAGGGAGACTAAATTGTAATCATGTTATGAAAAAAAATTTTCAATCGCTCTGTTCAAAGTGAAGAGCTTGAAATTTGGCTGCAAGCTTCCTCTAATCTGAAGGATATTTTTTTTCTATATGAAGGAGAAAAAAGAAAGGAAGGAGAAGAATTTCAGTCCACAGTTCAGTGTTGTCATTCTCTGCAGAGTTAGTGTCTCTCTCAGAGCTGAGAGAGAAGGAAACTAAACTGTCCTCAGAATGGGAAGACAGATCAAGCTAAAGCACAATGTACTGCCTGGCCTGCTCCGGGGGCATTCACATTGCTTGGCTGTAGGATTTCCAGAGTTTGATGTGGTGTGACCACATTGCTCTGACAGTAGGTAGTCTGAGCTGAAATTGCTTACAAACTGCACTGCAGGAGGAGCTGGGGCTGAAAAAGACATGTGGGAAAGGCAAAGAGGCCTTTTCAGAATTACAGAACATTTAAAGAATGTCCCAGGTAGCAGAGAAACTCAGAGGTGCTCAGGTTGTGCATTTGGAAGCATCAGCATTAACGGGGCTGTGAATGTGTGCATTGCATTAAGTCTTTAATTATGTGCTCACATGGAGTGTCCTTCACATTAAATTAACAGTTCCAAAAGGTGAAGTACAGTTATGCAAGAAAGGGATTTGTGTATAGAGCAAAATTGTATCTTAAATGGGTGGAGTCTTGCAGAGTGGTAGCAGAGGCTGGTAACCAAAAGTTAAGAAACTTAAATTCTGCCCTACAAGACTGAATGCTTCATATCACAGAGTTTGGGTAGTTCTGAGTGGTGCTGTAAAATGTTGCTGGTTTGCACTCAACTGTCATTCATATCCTAC